TTTTTTTTTTTTTTTTTTTTTTTTTTTTTTTTTTTTTTTTTTTTTTTTTTTTTTTTCTTCCTTACATGTATAAGTATAATAAATATTTTTTATAAATGGTTGTAAAAGACATACACAATATGAATTATTATTATTAAGTATACCTGACGGAAAAATTAATACCCGATTAGTAAGTAAGATGACAAAAATAAAACAAAACAATAAAAAAAAAATTAACACATCCATGAAAGTCTCATAATATAATTTTTTTTTTTAATTCACATATACATGGCCTAAGCCATTGCTTTTCAAATTCTGCTTACAACAAAATAATCTTTTAAGACTGTCCAGACTATTATTCAAAGCGAATTTAAAGCTGTGGGACTGCTTCTAATTCAAAATTTTGAAAGGAAAAAATTGCCAAAACTTAAAACCCTCGTATTTCCGTCAATAATAGAGATATCGCAAAAAGGACGTTAATTTAAAATCAGTTGGAATCAAAAAATTTTTTTTTATTCACGTAGCCCAAGCCTTAGCCTTTGCTTTTAAAAATCAGCTTACAACAGAATAATCTTTTGAGACTGTCCAAAATATAATTAAGAGCAAGTACGAAGCTGTGGGATTACTTCTAATTTAAAATTTTAATAAGAAAAAATTGCCGAAACTTGGAACGCCCGTATCTCTGTAAATAATGGAGATATCGCAAAAAGGACGTTAATTTGGAATCAGTGAAAATCAAAAACTTTTTTTTTTTATTACGCATACTAAGCCTTAGCTATTGCCTTTAAAATTTGTCTAACAACTAATTAATCTTCTGAAACTGTCCAGACTACCATTCAAAGCGAGTTTAGAGCTTTGGGACGGCTTCCAATCCAAAATTTTTAGAAGAAAAAATTGCCAAAACTTAAAACGCCTGTATCTCCGTAAATAATGGAGATATCGCAAAAAGGACGTTAATTTGGAATCAGTAGAAATCTAAATTTTTTTTTTTATTACGCAGACTAAGCCTTAGCCATTGCTTTTAAAATTCTGCTTACTACAAATTAATCTTTTGAGACTGTTCAGACTACCATTCAAAGCAAATTTGAAGCTGTGGGACTGCTTTTAATCCAAAATTTTTATAAGAGAAAATTGCCAAAACTTAAAACGCCCGTATCTCCGTAAATAATGAAGATATCGCAAATAGGACGTTAATTTGGAATCAGTAAAAATCAAAAATTTTTTTTTTATTTACGTAGACCAAGCCTTAGCCATTGCCTTTAAAATTTAGCTATCAACTAGATAATCTTCTGAGACTGTCCAGACTACCATTCAAAGCAAATTTAAAGCTGTGGGACTGCTTTTAATCCGAAATTTTTAAAAGAAAAAATTGCCGAAACTTGAAACCCCCATATCTCTGTAAATAATGGAGATATCGCAAAAAGGACGTTAATTTGGAATCAGTAACGATCATAATTTTTTTTTTTTTATTACGTAGACTAAGCCTTAGCCATTGCTTTTAAAATTCTGCTTACAACAGAATAATCTTTTGAAACTGTTCAGAATATTATTAAGAGCAAGTACAAAGCTGTGGGTCTGCTTCTGATTTAAAATTCTAATAAGAGAAAATCGCCAAAACTTAAAACGCCCGTATCTCCGTAAATAATGGAGATATCGCAAAATAGACGTTAATTTGGAATCAGTAACAATCGAAATTTTTTTTTTTTTTTATTACGTAGACTAAGCCTTAGCCATTGCTTTTAAAATTCTGCTTACAACAGAATAATCTTTTGAAACTGTTCAGAATATTAATAAGAGCAAGTACAAAGCTGTGGGACTGCTTCTAATTTAAAATTTTGATAAAAAAAAATTGCCGAAACTTAAAACGCCCGTATCTCTGTAAATAATGGAGATATCGCAAAAAGGACGTTTATTTGGAATCAGTAGAAATCCAAATTTTTCTTTTTATTTACGTAGACCAAGCCTTAGCCATTGCCTTTAAAATTTAGCTATCAACTAGATAATCTTCTGAGACTGTCCAGACTACCATTCAAAGCGAGTTTAGAGCTTTGGGACAGCTTCCAAACCAAAATTTTAAGAAGAAAAAATTGCTAAAACTTTAAACACCTGTATCTCCGTAAATAATAAAGATATCGCAAAAAGGACGTTAATTTGGAATCAGTAACAATCAAAATTTTTTTTTATTTATCAAGCTGACTAAGCCTTAGCCATTGCCTTTAAAATTTAGCTAATAACTAAATAATTTTCTAAGACTGGCCAGACTACCATTCAAAGCGAGTTTAGAGCTTTGGGACGGCTTTCAAACCAAAATTTTTAGAAGAAAAAATTGCCGAAACTTAAAACCCCCATATCTCTGTAAATAATGGAGATATCGCAAAAAGGACGTTAATTTGGAATCAGTAACGATCATAATTTTTTTTTTTTTATTACGTAGACTAAGCCTTAGCCATTGCTTTTAAAATATAGCTAACAACTAAATAATCTTCTGAGACTGTCCAGACTACCATTCAAAGCA